AAGGTTCATTGAAAGATGAATGGATAAACAAATGGTATATATATATATATATATATATATATATATATATATATATATACACACAATAGAATATTATTCAGCCTTAACCCTCCATCGGGCGCAACTGATCTCACAGATTCATTGCACACAAATTTTCAAATATCTAACAGTTAACTTAAGTATCATGACTCATCGCTTCCGTATCTTCCCCCCTCTACTGTAACCTATTGCCAGTCGTGTTTGTGACTTAGTACAGTAAAGACGTATTTCATAGCAGCATGTTTGTGTGCAATGAATCTGTATGATCAGTTGCGCCCGACGGAGAGTTAAAAAAAGAAAGACATTCTGACACATGCTACATCGTGGATGAACCTTGAAGGCATTATGCTAAGTGAAACAAGTCAGTCACAACAGAACAAATTCTGTATGATTTCATTATAGGAGGTACCTAGAATAGGCAAATTCATAGAGACAGAAAGTAGAACGGTGGTTGCCCAGGGCTAGGAGAGGGAAGAATGGAGGAGAGTTATCATCATTTAATGAGTACAGAGTTTTAGTTTGGGAAGATGAGAAAAAGTTCTGGAGATGGACGGTGGTGATGGTTGCACAATAATGTGGATGTGCTTAGTGCCATGGAACAGTACATTAATGTAAAAATAGTTAAAATGGTATATTTCATGTGAAGCATATTTACCACAATTTAAAAAACAAAAACCCTGAGGGCAGAAAAAGAAAAACCTAAAAGGAAAATGGGGAAAACTTATGAACAGACAATTCACCAAAAAAGACATACAACAAACTGTCTTTCAAACATATGAAAATATGTTCAAACTCACCCATAATTAGAGAAATGAAAATTACAACAGCACCGAGACACCATTTATCACCTATCACCAGCAAAAATTAAAATACTAAGCACACATTGCTGGTGAGGTTGTAGGGAAACAGGAACTATTGTCAGACTTTGTTGGTGGGAATGCAACTTGGTACAACCCTTTCTGCAGGAGAATTCAACAATAAGCAAAATTACATACGCAGTTGCCTCTCAAGCCAGCACTTCTACTTCTCAAAAATGTACTCTGAAGATGTACCTCCAACAACAGGAAAATACATATGCACAGGGTTATTCATTGCTGCATTGTTTGTAATTGCAAGATATTGGAAACAACCTAAATGGCCATAGATAGTAGAGTGGATGAATAAATTATGGTACATGCACACAATGAAGCAATATGCTACTGTAAAAATTAATGAGAGTATGCTCATAGCAGTATTCATAAAAATCATAAAGTGGAAACAAACCAAATGTCCATCAACTGATGAATAAACAAAATGTGGTATATCCATACAATGGAATATGATTCAGCCATAAAAATAACTACTGACAACATGGATTAAACCATGAAAACATTACACTAAGAAGCCAGTCACAGACCACATGATCCCATTTATACGAAACGTCCACAGGCAAATCTATACAGACAGGTATAAATATTTTTATATTTACAACAAAAGTTTGCCAACTCCAAACGAAACCACTCTAAGGATATTTTAGTTCTAACTAGTTATTAATCACACACAGAAGAAACCTTAGCCGCATGGAATCCCACTGCTCCATAGTTATGACCTCTAGTAACCCCGGCCCCAAAGAATTAAGTGGCTCCCACAAAGCCACTTGTGCAGACATCTGCGAATGTCAGTAAACTATCTAGTCCGGTCAACCTGCTCCAGGGATGCAGAACAGTCAGGATTTTTCAGTCTGGAGTCGGGATGACCTACTGGTTTGCTGGGGGACTTTGGCCAAATCACTTCACCTTCTCTCGGCCTCAGTTTCCACACCTGTAAATGACGCTGATACTAGCACTCACCTCGCAGGGCTGCAGTAAAGGTGAATTGAAAGGACGCCAGTCAAGGGTTAGTGCCGGGCTTCGCACGGGCAAACGCCGAATCAATGGTGGCTCCAGTCGTCACTGTGAACNGATGGTGCCAACTTGGGCCAGTGAAGCAACATCCTCCACAACTAGACTGAAGAACAAAAGGACAGCAACTTGTCTGTTCCCCTTCCCCTAATTCCCCAATAAAAATCTTAAAAGAAAAAAAAAAATCTACACCCTGATAATACAGAGACTACATATTCCTTTCCAGTGCTCAAAGCACATTCACCAAAATAACAACAATGAGCAATAATATATTAGGTTACAAAAAAAACGCCTTTCATAAAATAAAAGTAAAAATACTTTAGTAAAAATACTAAAAACACACTCTGAAATCACAATACATTAAAACTAAAATTTACTACCACCACCATCACCAACAACAACAGAGGTCCTTCTATCCAAAATTTTAAGAACCTCTTATTCAACAACTTCTGGGTGAAAGAAAATGCAACTAAAATTGGAGAAATTTAAAGAAATACTAACAATGAAAACACACATATCGCATGTGTGAAAATACAATAAAATCATCTAAGGGAGAAAAATCACATGATTATCTCCACAGAAGAGAAAGCCTTTAACAAAATTCAACATCCATTCACGTTAAAAAATTTTTTAAAAACTCAAGAATATAGGAATTGAGGGATAGTTTAACATAATTAGATAGATTGATGATAGATAGATCTTAGTTCTAAAATCAAAATCTTATTTAATGGAAAAACACTAGAGGCATTTCCATTGAGGACAGGAACAAAGCAAGGATACCCATTATGTCTGCTACTGTATACCACTGTATTAGAAGTACTCACAATGCAATTAGAAAAGGGAAACCAGTTAGAGGTATAGAATGGGTAAAGAAGAAGTAAAACTATTATTAATTGCGGATAATATGATAGAATACTTAGAAAACACCCAAATCAATAATAAATAATAATAAAAGAATGCAACGAAGTAGCATGATATAAAATTAACACACAAAAATCAATAGCCTTCACATACACAAACAAACAGAAGATGTTACAGTAGAGAAAAAACCCATTTGTTATAGCAACAAGATGATTAAATACTTAGGAATAAAGTTAATAAAGTTAACAAGAAACGTGCAACCTATGCAAGGAAAATTTAAAACACTACCAAAAGACACTAAAGTAAACTTAAAACGAAAGACATCCTCTGTTCTTGGATAGAACTCAACATGATAAAGATGTCAGTTCTCCCTAAATTAATTTATAAATTCCAATGCAATTCTAATAAAAATACCAACAAGATGCCAGATAAGCTGACACTAAAATTTATGTGGAGAAATAAAAATGTAAGAATAGCTAGGAAAACAGTGGAAAAGTTACAAGGAGGGGATGAGTCCCTACCAGACATTAAGACATATTATATAAAGGCTTAATAATTAAAATAGTGGTACTGGTATATACATAGAGGGAACACATCTAGAGTTAGAGTCAAGTACATATGGAAATTTAAAACATGGCAAAGGTGGCAACTCAAATCACTGGGGTCAAGATGAACTTTGTAACAAGTGTTGCTGGGACAAATTGGTAACCATTTGGAAAAGATAAAATTAGATCCATACCTCACACCATACATATAAATAAACTCCAAGTGGACTAAGGATATAAATGAAAAAGATGACCATACAAGTACTAGCCAAAAACATGGTTGAATTCTTCTTTAACCTTGTATAGGGAAAGGCTTTCTCACTATGATTTAAAATCCAGAAGTAGTGAAAGAAAGGATTGATAAATTTAACTACATTGAAAATGTTTTAAATTTTGCATGACAAAAAAAAAATCACACACAAAAACAAAAATAAACCAGTGGAACTACATCAAACTAAAAAGTTTCTGCACAGCAAAAGAAATGATCAACAAAATGAAAAGACAATCTATAGAAAGGGAAAAAAATATCAGGGCAGCCAGGTGGCTCAGTTGGTTAGAGCACGTGCTCTTAACAACAAGGTTGCCAGTTCGATTACCGCATGGGATGGTGGGCTATGCCCCCCACCCCACTCCCTGCAACTACATTAAAAATGACAACTAGACTTGGAACTGAGCTGCACCCTCCACAACTAGATTGAAGGAGAACGACTTGACTTGGAGCTGATGGGTCCTGGAAAAAACAGTTACCCAATAAAAAAAATTATTTATATATATATACACATATCTGCAAACCATTTATCTGATAAGATTTACTATCCAAAATAAACAAGTCATACAAACTCAATAGCAAAAAAACAAATAATCCAATTAAAAATGGACAAAGAACCTGAATACATATTTTACCAAGGAAAATATGTGAATGACCAACAGGTACATAAAAGGTACTCAATAACACTAATCATTAGAGAAATGCAAATCAAAACCACAATGTGGGCAGGCCGAGTGGCGCGATGGTTGAGAACTGGCTTGGGACGCCAGAGGGCCCNAAAAAAAAAATACTACTTATACAATGGAATACTACTACCAATTAAAAGAAACAATTGATACATGTAACAATTTGGATGAATCTCAAACTCATTATGCTGAGTGAAAGAAGCCAGTATCCAAAGGTTGTATACTGTGTGATTCCATTTATATGACATTCCTGAAAAGACAAAACTATAGTGATGAAGGCCATGTCAGTGCTGGCCAGTGGTGAGGGAAGGGTGTCTATAAAGGAGTAGCACTTTGAGGGTGATAGAACTGTTCTGCATCCTCATGTGGTGAAGGTTACACAAATCTATAAATGTGTTAAAAGTCAGAGAACTGTACACCCCCAAAAGAGGTCAAATAATTCAACTTATTGAATTAAATGTAATAAATATAAAAATATTTTAACAAAAATAAATACATTTTTTTAAGAGTGTAGGGGAGCAATCTGGATATCAAAGTACAGTTCAAGCCCATATATATTAACTGTGACAAAAGGTACAATTCATATTGATGATATAACACTTCAAAATATACACCAAATAACAGCAACCAACTTTAAAAAGCAAAAACCACACGAGATGCAAGGACACATAGATAGAAACTAATAAGAGGCTTTCATTCACCACTCTCAGTACAAGGCAGAAAAAGTGGGGGGGGAAATTAGAAGACAGAAGATCTAAACAATAAAGTGGGGGCCGGCCGGGTGGCACAGTTGATTAGAGCACAAGCTCTGCGCAACAGGGTCACTGGTCTGATGCCCACATGGGCCAGTGAGCTGCGCAGGAGCTCAGCTTCTGCTGAGCTGCAAACAGGTGACCGGATGGCTCAGCTGGTGAGAGCATGTGCTCCTAATAACAAAGTTGCCAATTAGACTCCCGCATGGGATGGTGGGCTGCACTCCCCCCCCCCCAACTAGAAGACTGAAAGTGGTGACTGGACTTGGAGCTGAGCTTGCTCCCTCCACAACTAAGATTGAAGGACAACAACTTGACTTGGAGCCGATGGGTCCTGGAAAAACACAATGTTCCCCTTCCCCATTTCCCCAATAAAATCTTTAAAAAAATAAAATAAAAAATAATAAAGTGAGGGCCTGCCGAGTGGCGCGATGGTTAAGAACTGGCTTGGGACGCCAGGGGGCCCCGGTTCGGATCCCACATATGAGGGCCAGTGACACTGCCCTGCCCTCCACAGCTAAGATGCTGAACAACAGCTCGACCTGGAGCTGGGCTGCCATGAGTCGCTGGCGACGGCGTAGGCTGCAGTCCCCTGCTGCAGTGGGTTGCCATGGGCTACCGTATGTAGCCAGCAGCCAGCGTGAGCGGCCAGCA